GCCAGAGGTATATGTCAAACAAAAAAAAGGTTTTGTATAAGTATACAAAACTTTTTTTGTTTGATATTATTGAAGGATAAGCTAGAGATTGATTAAAATAACATGATTTCTGAGGTTTTTTTTGGTTGGGGCTGTATTACATAAATAATGTTGTATAATAATAATTTTTGGAGTAGTAACAAGACCTTGTAAGGACTGCTTTTCTGACATGAAAGCACATATTAATTTGTTCAGTAATTCTTTGTTTTATTATGTCATTTCCTGGCCATTGAAAGAACTAATATTGATACCCAAGTTTATTTATTGAATATTTCTTACATTTCATGATGCCATGTGTCAGAGCAGTTGGGTGACAGCACCATGAGTCAATTGTCATTGAGTTCAGCTACAGTGTAGGTATGTCTTTATTTCTGTCTTGTTGTAAATGAATGAAAACATATTTGCTTCAAGTTTTATTTTAAACTTAGTAACATGGGCACCGAAACATATGAAATGCTTGAACAAACATTCAGAGAAACAGATTTAGTCCAAAACATTTGAGTGGTATTCGCATTTTAAAAATGACAAAAAAAATCTTCAATTGATGATGACAATACATATGGCTATCCATCAATGGCATGAATCAATGAGACTTGATCATCAATCTGTCTACAGAATCATTCTGCAATGCCGTTGATTTTCAGTTTGTCAGAAACACCCTCACAATGGTCTTCTTGTAACTAGCTTCTGCACCATGACAACATACTAGTGTCATGTAACTTTGGGTACAACTAAAATTTTAGTCATGTACAGCATCCCCACAGTTCCTCATCCACCTTACTCACCAGATTTGCACCTTGTGACTCCTTCCTCTTGCAAGCTCAAAAGTACCCTAAAGAAGATATATCAAGATTACAGAGATATAATTGAACATGACATGAAGCTGTGAGCCATTCCCAAACAAGCCTATCAAACATGTATGGAAAAGTGGAGGGATCGCTAGAATTGCTACATACAACTTGGAGGATCATACTTTGAAGGAGATAACTTCTAGTAATTGATAATTACTTTTGTTTTTCTATAATAAATTCTGTTCCAGATATTTTTGAACAGCTCTTGTATATTAAGTAAAAGGGTTAAAGTTTACCTTGGTAACCCCAATGGCCACGCTTCTGACTGTTTGTGCTCCCAACGGACTCCTCCCAGAGGGGAGCCATCAGGAGGCCACCAATTGTTTAATGTTACTAGTTATTGATTCACGGTAGTTCTTGAACAAAAGAAAAAAAAGGAAACTTCTACTAAAAATGTAGTCATCTTAATCTAACATAACCTAACCAAAGTGCTGCCATTGGGACTACTAAGGTAAACTTTAACCAGTAAAAATAATTGATTCAAATTGTACTTTTAGCTGGTCATTTTCCAGATTTATAAGTTATTAAATAAATAAATTATTAAAATTACTAACTAATTAATATTTTATAAAGAAAATCTTCAATATTTTTGTGATAAATAAATTGAAATTTATAATTTATTAGATTACTGGTAAGTAAAAATTAGGGTCAGATAAAGGTAGAGAAAATGTTCATAGTATCAGTTGGATGATTAGATCATTAGATATTTGCATTAAGGAATAATTTGCATCACTTAACAGGGATAATAGTAACTGCACCACTTTAGCTCAATGGGCATATGATATTAAAGTCAATGTTGGAACAATCGTAGTTTAATTTATAATTAAAAGAATATTGTATGGCTTTCTCAAGCTTTCTGCGAGAAAGCCATACAAGGATGCGAGAAAGAAAAGGATGATGTAATCGACAGACTACAAGCTAAGGTTAGACGCCTCACTGACCCTAAATTAGCCAAGCGCCTGGCACTACACAACATAGTAGTCAATTCACCAGATGTACCTAGACTTTTCGCCTACGCTAAAACACATAAGACGGGACAGCAGTTACGCCTAAAAGAATATTGTGCAACCCATCTACTAGAACAGATGTAAATTTTTGTATTCTCTAAATATACCAATGTAATATGGTAATCTAACATAACCTAACCAAAGTGCTGCCATTGGGACTACTAAGGTAAACTTTAACCAGTAAAAATAATTGATTCAAATTGTACTTTTAGCTGGTCATTTTCCAGATTTATAAGTTATTAAATAAATAAATTACTAAAATTACTAACTAATTAATATTTTATAAAGAAAATCTTCAATCAAATAATGTAATTTAATGCCTGGGATACTTTTCAGTTAAAGAATGTTTGAAATGAATCCTAGATTCAAAGAACTTTTATAATTTCTGTAGTGAAATGATAAGTTTATTTGATTGAGAAGATGCAATATATAATATATATACAGTAGAGCATTGATTATCCGAATCAATTGGGGACTGGGGTTGTTCAGAAAATTGATATTTTGGATAACCGATTATGTACGAAAAAATATATTAACCTATCCCATGTTGAAATTTTTCTCTGTTGCGTGTCGCTTTGCGTTGAATTTTCGTTGATGTTAAGCCTAACGAAGACTATTGTATTGTTAAAAATTATTTTTTTATTTTGTACAAACAAAATAAATATATTGAAAAATATAAAAACAATAAAAAATTATACTTCAGAAGTTAATTTAGTATCAAAAACATAAAATATTTGCGTAGCCCAAGACATAGCCAAAGATTGCAGCGCCACAGCACTGGCGAAAATTTAAATTTGCCGACTGGAATTCTTTCAGATAATCGACGCTCTACTGTATAGGTCTACAGGGTGATTATAATTAAAGTTTCACTTTGAAATGGCCATAAAATGAAAACTACTGGACAGAATGTTATTAAACTTGGTAATAGTGTACAGAATGTCATAGGATTTTATTTCCTGCAAAAAAAAAGTTCAAAAACTCACCACCTACAGAAAACAACACTATCTTCAATATTGTTAAATGAAATAAGACATGAAGACATTGTTGAAAATATTTTTAATCAATTTTAAAACACGTTACCAAGCATGTTCAATGTGGTGTCCACCATTTTCTGAAAGCAAGTTAAATTCCTCTTGATATGCTAAGAGCTATTGTTGAGAACACAGTAATGCAATTTAACTTGCTTATCAAAAAATGGTGGACACCACATTGAACATGCTCTGTAATTCATTTTAAAACTGATTAAAAACATTTTCAATGATGTCTTCATGTCTTATTCATTTAACAATATTGCAGACAGTGTTGTTTTCTGTGGGTGGTGAGTTTTTGAACTTTATTTTTTTCATGGGAAGTAAAATCCCGTGACGTCCTGTAAACTATTACCAAGTTTGATAACATTCTGTCCAGTAGTTTTCATTTTATGGCCATTTCAAAGTAGAACTTTAATTATAATCACCCTGTATATATGATTCAAATGTATTCTGTTCTTTGGTAGCTGATAATGGTCTACTAATAAAGACTTAAAACATTTTTATACTGATGAATTTTTTGGTTTTAATAAACAGATATTTTAATTTTATACTTAAATATGGTATTAAGTTTTGTTTATTTTATAGGTATTATATATTTACAATTTTTGTGATAACTCAGNTATTTTACTTTATCATTGGCTGCATTCAGCAGACTCAATAGTTCTGGAGCTGTTGAACGCATTCTACAGTAGTGCTCTTTCAGAACATATTTGATGTTTTGACATCACATTTAGTAGCGTCTTTCATTTACGCTACCTATGCTACCTGAAACTGACCAATGAGGCTTTTTGTTCCAACGCAACGTCACTCATCATTCAGCAGATCCAGGTTGCTATGGGTATGTTCATAAAGTCAAATGAGTTAAACAAGAATGACGTCATCGTTATTCTTATTTCGTTAGACTTTTCGACTGATTTGTTTATAACTAAATGGCTGTTTCTAAAATCAAAGATATGAATGTTGCTAGTGCAGCCTTATCCAAAATATTTTTCTTAGATTGCTTCGGGTGGACAGTTATTTCTATCATTTCACCTTTTAATTCACAGTTTAAATATTCGAGTAGATTTGGATACATCGATATCGTCAGGCGCCATTTTCTTAACAAAGTGAACTAATGCTTTCCTTCATGAACTTTGTTAGAGTTTTGTTCAAAACATCATCACCACAGAGCATGCGCACTGAGCGAAACTACTACTTTTAGAACAATTCGTTACTAATGTGTTTAACTCGTTCAACTTTACGAACGTACCCTATGTTACAGCTACTGATTTGTTCAGTTACAACTGTTGAGTCTGCTAAACACAACCATTGTCATAATTTTTACAACACCTTGAGAATATACTAAAATTTTATTTTCAACAAAATTTAATCTTCACTATCCGTTCTATATTTTTCATTTAGAGATAAGATTTGTGCAATATTAGTAAACACATGAAACATTGATTTGCATTTTAAAAATGCTAAATTTATTCAAGTGATATAGAAATAACAAAACAAAAAAAATCAAATAATTATCATCTTCTTTAAATCAGTCATAACATACGAATGCACTGTACAAATAATCAAGATGTATTCAACATATACAAAACACTACAATTGCAATATATTTATTAGCAAAATAAATGATTTTTAGTATAACAAAAGTTAATCAAGTATTTATTATATAATTTACCGAATTTTCGCTATATGTTTCTTCATCCGCTATAGAAATTTCATCCTCGCTTATCGTTTTAACAAATCCAAATTGATCACAATATTTACTAGCCATACTTTTTCAAATACCGTACCACGTGTTGCGATCCAAAGTTGTGATCGAAGGAAACGTGATAATTCGATTTTCACGTTAGTTTCGCACTAAATCAATTTTGACCATAATATAATTTAATTAAATTGAATTAATTCTAATTATATTTACACAAACTTTTTTAAATATATAAAATTAATTATCCTCTAAAAAATTGTCTTGAAGAAAAATGAAAAAAACCTTACACAATGTAAAAATAACAATCAGATTATATTAAATTAATACTTTTATTAATTAAAGATAACTAAAATTTAATTTTTATACGTAATAAATTGAGTAATTTTAATTTAAGGTTTTAGCGGGAAATTCAGTAGCCATTTTTGTTGTTCGAAGTCAGAAAAATGGGAATTCGTGGTTTAGCTAAATTAATTGCGGATTACGCTCCCAATGCAGTTAAAGAAAACGAAATTAAGAATTACTTTGGTCAGTAGAAACTTTCATATCTAATTTTATTTTTATACACTCGGACTTACGCAATGTTTATATTTTGAAGTATATAAGTAACAATGCAAAGATTTTTAAAAATTCTATTCTTTTCATTCTGAAGTAAAATATGTCATTTAAATAGCGAAAATGCCGCTCTTAATAAGGGGTTGGGACCTTATCTGTAGACATACTCATAAGTCATGAGTAAAAAAGTCAAAGGAACCGATAGGGGGATTATAACCCCTCATTGAGAACTGCAATTTTACCAACTTAACAATTGAATAATTACATAAAATACTCAAAATAAAAGAATTTGATTTCATTTTTAGGACATTTTTTCAACAGAATATGACAGAATTGTCTGAAATGTACATATTTGTTTATAATGTGATAGACTAGTCTTTTAATTTGTAAAATAGCTTTCAATCATTGGCTACATCTGATAAAATTAATTTCTCATTTAATCATTAGAGACTTCAAATAACCTTAAATAATCTAATGAATGTGTAATGGATCGATAATTATCACCAAGTACAACCTTTTCCTTCCGGCAAATATATTTAATGGATGGATGTTTTCAGGCAGATTTGTGGTATGACTCTGGGTTTGGATTTAGTATGGTTGCATTCTGTTTTCCGGCAAACATATTTAATGGTAAGTTGGATGTTTTCAGGCAGATTTGTGATATGACTCTGGGTTTGGGTTTAGTATGGTTGCATTCTGTTTTGGAATATTAATTTTGTGACATGAGAACAATATTTTATATCTGGGAATTAATGTTCCGAAATGGAATGCGAGTGTGCTGAAATTGGAGTTGGAGTGTGAATTTGTCCAAAAATATTTCTTACTATTAAATATATTTGCTGGAAGAATGAGGTTGTTTTGGTGATAATTGTTTAGCATTTCCAGTTTGAATTTTCTCAGTTTGATGGATCAATAGCTACGATTATCTGAATACTGATCAACCAAAACATTGGTTAACCAAAAGCATTCCAGTTGGCAAATTCAAATTAACACTAGTGTTGTGGCACTGCAGCACTCTCCCTCTCCCTGCCAACCTATACTGTAGGCCTATTTTAATGTACTATTTTATGTAAGGTGTGTATTTGTAAGATATGTGATACAAATTATATACAGTACAGTTTTGTGTTTAATATATTTTTTTGTAAATGATCAGTTATCCAAACAACCCTAGTTCCAAATTGTTTCAGATAATCAATGCTCTACACTGTATACAGGGTGATCGGAAAATGTCTGGCCAAAATTTAAAGGGGATTAGAGAGGATGAATATAAAAGGATTCGCAGTACAATGCTTGTTTGGAAATGCCACATGAAGTCCTGGAGAGTAAAGAAAGTGGAAAAGTAAAAGGAAAGAGACACAAACAAATGTAACAAGCCCAACCTTTGCACATCTCTCCCGTTTCCATTCGCAGCTCCATATGTCAGATGGATATCTGCTAGTTTAGCATTCGTGAAGTGCTGCATGCTGTATGAAATCACAGCGGGGAATGACAGCTTCCCGCATTGCCGGCTTGTTTTGACTGACCTACACAGTGCTCTCTACCACCTTCATGCAGTATTTCCGGACAAGCATTGTACTGCAAATCTTTTTATATTCATCCCTTCTAACTCCCTTTAAACTTTGGCCAGACATCTTCCGATCACCCTGTATATATATTTATATATATATTGAAAAAGAAAATGCTACTTAAAAAGAAGAAGAAGAAGAAGAAGAAGAAAAGAAAAAAACACTTGGCCTATTTTTTCCCTCTCCGGTTGGGGGACATTTTTACTTTTTGTACTAGCAACGCATGCGTAATACTCTCTCCATCCCTTACCGGGTCAATGTCGCACGTCGATCCGTCTTTTTTCACCTGCGGACGCAACACCTGACCTAGATTTCGCGCTCTGACGCCAGAGGTTATCGACACCGAACGCCTTGAACTCACTTGTCTACTTCCCCATAAGGGGCGTTATACCCTATACAGTTTCCTGCGGATATCCACGAAAACCTAAACACTAGTAACAATAATTTAGTAGCCCAAAAACTGCGTGTAAAAAAAAAAAACCTATCNAAAATTATATTTATATTAATGATGTCTCCAAAGTTCAGGAAATATTTTGCAAAAAAAGTAATTTATCAGGAAGCATGCAAGTGCCATTCGATGACAAGCTCCACAACAAAAATAAGCTTAAGCAATGGCATAGTTGAACGGTGCACACTTGGTAAATAATCCTACAATTTTTTGTTTATAGCATAGTTTATATGGATCAGATTATATAAATTTATGCAGCCTGCAAGTAATCTTTCAATAATAGCTAATTAAGTCTGAATAGCTCGACAAAAAATTCTGATGCCTAAAAAAAGGTCAACAACTCACTGTGCATTTAGAGTTAATGCTCCATTACAAATGACTTAAGCACAGCGTAGAATGTCGATAATGTATGATAATGTGAAAAATGTATCTGTAATCCCTATGTACAATTTAGTCTCTACGGGGTGACATCACAATGAGGTCTCGCATCACCACAGAATCTTTCTAGGGCAGCCTCTGGTTCGGCCCTTGAAAAAAGTTTTCTTTCCAGTTCAGCCCGTGGGCAAAAACTGTTGGCCACCCCTGGTATATGGGCTAATCAAAAATATTTGGACAGAATTCATTTATAGAGAAATTACTAATAAAAGTGATGTGATGTGACAAGCATGGAAGATATTTGACTACGGACAAGTTTAGTAAATGAACTAAATGCATCAGTGCAGCATAAAAAGAAAGTTTCTTTCTGTGTTAGCAATAAGCACTCTGTGTTTACATTCAGTTTTTCAAGAATGCAACAATACAGCTGCTCCCACATGTTAACAGGTTCATTCTGATAAGTACAAATTTTGTTTACTTTTGAATAAATAATTATTTCAGACAATTGAAAATGGTATGAACCCCAACCAAATTACAACCAAAGGAATACAACCCCAACCAAAAAAACCTTGGACAGCATGTTATTTTAATTAATCTCTAGATCATCCTTCAATAATATCAAACACAAAAATTTTGCACACTTATAATTATTTTATACTAGTAAACTTTTATTATAACTGAAGATTTTACATTAAAAAATTTTCATGTTGATAATACATAAAAAGAAAAAAGTTATGAGCAGTTAAAAACATGTGTGACAAAAAAAAAGTCATCTCTGACAAATAGTACCTCTGACGATACATTAAATGACCTGTTCCTAAATACAGTCGATTCCATTTAATTGGGCCAAATCTCAGAATGGAAACCAAACTAATAAATTAATGCATAATTCAATTGCTTAATTGGGACAGTAGGAAAAGGAATTTAGCAATTTTTGATATATTTTAGTAATCTTCTGAAAGTATGTAGGCACTATGTACACTAATGTCAGGTAGGCCTAAAATTGGCAGAGACAAAGTGATTTTGTCTTTTGCTCTGGCAGTTCGGTTTTTCAGGTCAGCATAGTGGGATGCATCACATGGGGATTTTGTCTGAGGCGGACTTGAACACGAGTTACTGACCCTGCTCTGGATTGGACCGGACAATCCCCTTAAAAGCGAAGGGACAAAGATTGCCGTACAATTTTTCGAGGTCTCTCGTATGAGTTGGAAGACAGCTAAAGTTCCCTTGGAAGATATTGTGTGCATAATTATGTCTAGATTCAGACAGCAGCCATCTGATTGTTGAGACCAGCATCAAGTTGGTGGATTCTATGGACACTCCTGCCAAAGTAGCCCATTTTCAAGTAAAGGAAACTGTGCTCAAAGGAAGACTGTAAAATGACTTTTGGACAAACCTTTTTCTTTCTCCCTTTTTACTTAGAACATGTTCTAACTAAAAAGAAAGAAAGGAAAATTGTTCGACAGGAATGGATCAAATGGTCAACCCTTGTGTACGTCACTACTAATATTTGGCAACACTAACATTATGCGAATCAGTTATCTATCGTCATGAGTCTGGCAAATTTATAGTACAAATATTTCCTGTATTTTGGTTTAATAAAGCATTAAAATAGGTACCTAATTATTATTTTTTTACCTACTTATTTATTTATCTATGTAGGCCCTATTACATATTTTATTATAGAATTTATTATTAATTTGTTTAATTGAGGCAGCAGCTTAATTGGGCCAAAATGGATTAGTCCCAATGTGTCCCAATTAAGTGGAATCAACTGTATATAAATGAGCAGACGTGATATTTGCATATTTTTCTGTTTTAACGTTATTGAGATGTATTTGTTTAATGAAAATGTCACCTGGTAAGGCTGTAAGTGTTGGTGTATGTGAAATAATTATCATCCTACATAGACAGGACAAATTCTTAAGAAAAATTGCAAAGGAATTAAAAATTGGTAATTCTTCAGTATGGGTATTGTTTCAAATTATCAGGAAATTGGTAAAATTTATCCAGAAAAATCAACTGGAAGGCCAACAACTATAACAAACACTGATCACAAGCACCTTTCTGAAATAAGTAAAAAAAAAATTGAGGGGCATCACTTGATGAATTAGCAAACAAATGGAATAAAGTTAGGAAAGAAAGTTAAAAAGAAACTTCTTGTAACCATCTGCACAAACTTGACTACAGCTTCTATTGGATAAGAAAATATTATTTTTTTTAAATAATTGTGACATTTGATTTGTTTTCTTAAACAAAGACAAAACCACTTCTCACAGAAACACAAATAAAAAAAACTGATTGAAGTGGGCCAAAAGAGCACCAATGCTAGACACAACAACAGTGGAAGAAAGTTGTTTTTAGTGATGAGGCAGTTTGAAGTTTGCATTTGGAGGCAATAGAGAAAAGGTCATTAGAAAGCAAGAAGTGGCATTTCATTGTGACTGTCTACAGTGCACTGTAAAATTCCCAGCAAGTGTTATGGTGTAGGGTTGCATGTCAGCCAAAGGTGTGGGAAATTTGCATTTTATTGAGGGATCAGTAAATGCAGTATAATACCAACAAATTCTTGAGGAAAACCTATTACTATCATTAGAAAAATTACATCATAGACATTTTATTTTCCAGCAGGATGGTGCAAGTTACCATACTGCTAAAACCATCAAGGCTTGGCTGGCCCAACATAATATTAACACATTATAATGCCCATTGAGCCATTCCAACCTATTCCATGTAGAAAATTTGTGGGATCAAATTAAAAAAAGACCTGAGAAAAAGTCCTCAGGGAAGTGTGGATGGTGAAAAGCAAAATATCAAACAAATTTGGGATGAAATTACCCCAAATGAGTGTGTGGCCCTTGTTGATACAATGAATGATCGTATGAACACTTATACAAGCCAAAAGTAAAATTACTAAATAATTAATATACTGCCAGAGGTATATGTCAAACAAAAAAAAGGTTTTGTATAAGTATACAAAACTTTTTTTGTTTGATATTATTGAAGGATAAGCTAGAGATTGATTAAAATAACATGATTTCTGAGGTTTTTTTTGGTTGGGGCTGTATTACATAAATAATGTTGTATAATAATAATTTTTGGAGTAGTAACAAGACCTTGTAAGGACTGCTTTTCTGACATGAAAGCACATATTAATTTGTTCAGTAATTCTTTGTTTTATTATGTCATTTCCTGGCCATTGAAAGAACTAATATTGATACCCAAGTTTATTTATTGAATATTTCTTACATTTCATGATGCCATGTGTCAGAGCAGTTGGGTGACAGCACCATGAGTCAATTGTCATTGAGTTCAGCTACAGTGTAGGTATGTCTTTATTTCTGTCTTGTTGTAAATGAATGAAAACATATTTGCTTCAAGTTTTATTTTAAACTTAGTAACATGGGCACCGAAACATATGAAATGCTTGAACAAACATTCAGAGAAACAGATTTAGTCCAAAACATTTGAGTGGTATTCGCATTTTAAAAATGACAAAAAAAATCTTCAATTGATGATGACAATACATATGGCTATCCATCAATGGCATGAATCAATGAGACTTGATCATCAATCTGTCTACAGAATCATTCTGCAATGCCGTTGATTTTCAGTTTGTCAGAAACACCCTCACAATGGTCTTCTTGTAACTAGCTTCTGCACCATGACAACATACTAGTGTCATGTAACTTTGGGTACAACTAAAATTTTAGTCATGTACAGCATCCCCACAGTTCCTCATCCACCTTACTCACCAGATTTGCACCTTGTGACTCCTTCCTCTTGCAAGCTCAAAAGTACCCTAAAGAAGATATATCAAGATTACAGAGATATAATTGAACATGACATGAAGCTGTGAGCCATTCCCAAACAAGCCTATCAAACATGTATGGAAAAGTGGAGGGATCGCTAGAATTGCTACATACAACTTGGAGGATCATACTTTGAAGGAGATAACTTCTAGTAATTGATAATTACTTTTGTTTTTCTATAATAAATTCTGTTCCAGATATTTTTGAACAGCTCTTGTATATTAAGTAAAAGGGTTAAAGTTTACCTTGGTAACCCCAATGGCCACGCTTCTGACTGTTTGTGCTCCCAACGGACTCCTCCCAGAGGGGAGCCATCAGGAGGCCACCAATTGTTTAATGTTACTAGTTATTGATTCATGGTAGTTCTTGAACAAAAGAAAAAAAAGGAAACTTCTACTAAAAATGTAGTCATCTTAATCTAACATAACCTAACCAAAGTGCTGCCATTGGGACTACTAAGGTAAACTTTAACCAGTAAAAATAATTGATTCAAATTGTACTTTTAGCTGGTCATTTTCCAGATTTATAAGTTATTAAATAAATAAATTATTAAAATTACTAACTAATTAANGTGATAATTCGATTTTCACGTTAGTTTCGCACTACCTGATATTTCATCATCAGAAATATCTGAGGACTGATTATCAGAATGTTCTTCATTAACACCATTGATTTCAGATTGAATCTATAATTTAATATATTATATGAGTCTAAATGCAAAATAAAAATAGATATTTATTTGACATACAGTAGAATCTACTTAGTATACTCACTTCAATACTCTACTGATGATAATGACTTATTGATAATATTAAGTAGATAAATAAATATGACGCAATTAATAGAAATTCTGATTTTATTGATTGACATTAAAGAACATGTTAAAACAATTGTAAAATTTGTAACTTAAACATTTATTAATTATAATTATTGCTGTTAGTGATTGTGTCTTATTTGACTGATACTATCCCTAGTATTATGCTGGATCCAGAGCAAAGCATAACTAGCAAAAAGAATTGTACAGTAGAAGTTTGTTAATTAATACTGATAATCTGGAATATTCAGTGATCTGAAACTGTTTGAAAAATAGCCAATAATCCAGAAGTGTCTGATACTAATCAGGCCTACTATATTTCATGCATGTGTAGTCATATGTATACAACACACATCCGAAAATAATTATTATATGAATGTTGATTTTGTGCAATAATTTGCTCATTAATGTTTTTTGCAGGTTTTTCAATCAATCTTAACACAGTATAGTTGTGCACTGCATTATCTTCAGACTGATTAAGAAGCATAAATAAATCTGAAGTACAAATAAATAATCCACACCTTAAACTTACTCCATCAAGTATTTTTAATGAACAAAAGCAATAAGCAAACATACAAAATTTAAAACAAATAGAACAAAAAACAATTTAAATTTAATGTTAAAATATAAATAACAAAAAATAAAACAAAAAATTTAACTATGAAATACAAATAAAATATAGGAAAGGGTATAAAACAATAATAAATTTGGTTGTTAACATTAACAATAAACTGCAACAAATATTTAACAAAGCTAGATTTCATAAAGTAATTTCCACACATGGATAAAGAGTAAGCATCATGGTAGTTAACACATTCAAGATTTCTATTAATTAATTAACCTCATAAATTTCCATGACTTTCATGTGTTTTAGACTATTTTATATCATTCACAGGCCTAATAACCTTCGCATCATCCCAAGAGACCTCCATTACATAAGATAGTGGTGAAGTGCTATTTGTATTAATAGAGATTTGATGTACCACTTAATCGGCACAGATCAATGAGATCTGTTCTCTGGAGTTCACGGATCGAGAGATCCAGTGTCTAGTCGAAGGATGGCCTTAAGGNTGTTTCACAGAATCGGTGATGTCACCCGAGGGAATAGGGATTAAGGGAGAAAGTTCTAGAACAGTTAAGACAAAAGAACAGAGGAGATACTAAGCCTAACTAAAATTAACAAAAATATATATAAAACTATGGCCGACGGCCACACATTAATAAAAAGCAAAAGTTAGTAAACATTTTGAAAGTCTTGTAATTAATTAGATTAATTTGTATCAATTATATTATTTGATTAGCATTCTGTTTTGTTTAATGCATTAACTGTGTCAATTAAAAGATTGCTGTAACCTATTGTGATCGCAGGGTCAGCTCCTCTTTGATGCCACATCAGGACTGACACCACTATGTCTCAACAGACACAGAAATTGCGATGGCTGTTAGTTATTAGGTTCGTGCGTGGATGGTCATACTTGTAGGCAGTTGGATCCAGGATGAGAAAGATTGAGAGACAACCGGTGGAAGAAATGCACTCAACTACAAGATTAACATTTAACAATACCTGTTTATTTACATAAGCATTTTTCATCTATATACATGAGTTATAATGACTTATAAGGAGTTTAGCTAGATGCTAGTTATCTGACATAAGCATTTATTGCAGGCCCTAACCATGAGAGAGAGAGTTCACAATTGTCCGCAAGTTGATAAATGCCTTGGTCAAATCGAGAAGGTTGATTCTTTCGAATTCTTAAATTGAAGGATCAGTGAATTTTTGGTCTGCAGGATTGTTCGTTCAGGAACTTTCAATGAGCCGAATTGAAGTGTTGAGAAAGTTGCCAAAGTCTTGGTGTCTTGAGATAAGTAGGAGATGGGTAACAAGGTGATATCCAAATATCGGGAAAGAACACGAGTCAAGACATGGCGAACTACCGATGACGACAAACTGCAATCATCATCAATCCTCTTCTTTTTATTAGGGGGTCCTTCCAGTTTCTTCTCATTCCCTTATTTGGAAATGTTATAAGTCAAGGCCAATGGTTGAATTTCGATTGTAGGTTCCAGGTGACACATTAGGAAGATGTGTCACCTTTGAAAGGAAGTGAATCCAGAGAAACATATGATCATATCCTTCCAGAGTTTTTTATTAAGTGTTGGGAAAAAATATAGAATTTGCTTCACATATGAGATAATTTGTTTAAGCCTTATTCTTTATGAAATGAATGTGAAAAAGTTTTATAGTCAAATAATGTTCACTTATTCTGGGCTCTCACACTATCTATCATGGTTTGAAGTGAAATGGAAATAGCAAATATTAGTTATATTTTCAAATTGATATTCTGATGTTTTTACGATTATTTATTTTGTTTTAAAGGACGAAAAATTGCTATTGATGCCTCGATGAGTATCTATCAGTTTCTTATAGCAGTGCGCCAAGAAACAAATGTGTTGACAAATAGCGAAGGAGAAACAACAAGGTATTACGAAATTAAATAATAATATCATACAATTTGATTATTAAAAGTTTTTCATTTTAATATTTAGTCACTTAGTAGGACTGTTCTACAGAACAATTCGTATGGTTGAAAATGGAATTAAACCAGTATATATATTTGATGGTAAACCACCTACAATGAAAAATGAAGAAGTAAGTATGAAAAATAATTATAAAAATAAAATTTTATTTAATGTGATGATTTTTTTTTCATTTTATTATACCATTTTTAATCTGTTTTCTCTGCAAGAAAACTGAGTCAATCAAAGAGCAGTCTCTTAGAAAGAAGAAAAAATAATTGAATTATATTATTACGGCATCAAAAAATCACAACCAAAAGTCCAGCAAAAAATAAACTTTAATCAATAAACTGACATTTTCAATCAATTTTATTGGTCATTGTCAGGTTTAGAACAGAATTAATAATGAACATAAAATAGAATTTAGAAAATTTGAACTAAATGGAACAATTATTTATAAATAGCTCAAATTTTGTAAATTCTACTTTGTTTGTTGTTAATTTTGTTTTAAACCTGACAATGGCTGATAAAATCAGTTGAAAACATTAGTTTATTGAGTGAACACCTTATCTGGAACCTGTTACCGGTACTGGTGCATTCTGTGAATAATAAAGTTTATTACTAACATTTTCAAACTGTTGAATAGTTCTTCTTCAGGTGAAATATACCAACTAACTAATGGAACTACAAAATTAGAATGTGAATATTCAAATTAAATTGAATGTATACCTGATGAAAGTCATTATGAAGGGCAGGTATTAAAAAATGCTATAATACTTCATAACAACTTTCATCAGACATACATTCTATTTAATTTGAATATTCACATTCTAATTTTGTGTTCCATTAGTTAGTTGGTATATTTCACCTGAAGAAGAACTATTCTAGTTTGAAAATGTTAGTAATAAACTTTATTACTCACAGAATGCAGTGGTAACAGGTTTCAGACAAGGTGTTGAGTTACATCCCTGGTGTTGATGTGTTGTTGATGTTGATATTAATTTATTGATTAAAAAGTTTATTTTTTGCTGGACTTTTGATTATTGTTGTGATTTTTGATATTCAATCCAGTTTGTTCATTATTAGGGCATAAATTTCTAACAATGTGAATAATTTTGTGGGTTATCTGTGTTTGAAAGTTAATCTGAAATGGGGTACAAGTTATGCAATGAATCAGGTTATATGTCAATTCTAAATTGCAGTCATGAGTTAAAGTTGTTTCACATTGTACAGGGTATCTCAATATCTGCTTACTCCTGTTTTAAGTACAGTGATACCCCGAACTTACACGATAGGTGGGACCGAGCGATAACCGTGTAAGTCGGGGTATAATTTCACAATTTGTGTAAAATCCAAGTCGGATGTATGTAAGCTAATAAATGTTTTCGTTAATCTTATCTCATCTTTTGATTCATTTATGGTTACAAGAAATCACCACACAGAGTCTCTCAAGTCTCCGTAGATATAACAAACACAAATAAATAACACAAAATAAATTATAGCTATGTGTCGATTCCATGTGACACGTCTGAACATGTATGCTGAACAATAGTGTGGTGGGAGTGAGTAATCAAGAGTTGCGTGGTGCTCAAACAAAAAGATGAATTGATGAGATTTGAAAATCGCGTAACTCCGGGTTCATGTAAGTTGGGGTAGCGTAAGTCAAGGTATTACTGTACATGGTCAGAATGGAAAACTACAGCTGGTGCTTCTAATTTTTTTCAAATCCAAATCTAAAGCAAAGTAATTGCAATAGAAAAGAAAAGGCAATACTTTTTCAAAATGCTCTCATAATTAGGTAGGATGATTAAATGAAAGGCAAACTCATTAGAAGTAGCATGAAGAGTTTAGAAGTGTTGCAAACTTGCCACACATGTACCAATCTCATATTTTGCAATAGGTTCCTTTTTAATTTCAATTGTTGATACTACAACTTTCTTTTTAGACTTTGTTGCTTCCACACCCTTTTTGTATCCATAGTTAATAAGTAAAAGTTATATTGAGTTGAACAGAAAGTTTTTGCCTATTTTTAACAGCTGTCATTACTTAACATAGTTGTATGATTTAATTGTAACAGTCATGAAATTTAACACATTGCTAATGAGAGATTGTATTCTTTGTTTATAAACTTATTTTAAACTTTTTACTTCAAACTTCATATTTTGTTTGAATAAAATCAAGTGGAAATGTCTTCAGATAAAAAGCATATCTGGCTTGCTACTCTTTATGAATTTTGGAAAGGATATAATGTCATACAAACAGTAAAAAAGGTTCATGTATGTGGAGATGCTTTGAATATGCAAATGTAGTTTAAAAAGTTCTGTTTGGACAATTTTGAACTAATGGATAAACAGTTTATGGGTCATTCAAAAAATGTTGACAGAGAAAAATTGCTGGAAGAAATCATTAAAAATCAATTAAAAATAACACATTGTATATAACCAAACATACCAAAAACAAAGGGGAAAAAAAGCTGAAACTATACAAACATAACATGAGACATTATGCTTGTATAGTTCAGTAAGAGATGACTTGTGTTTATGGTTCAAATACATTATTTTGATGCATGATAGTTTGAACTCTGAAGCATTTGAAGTACAAGGTACCACTATATTTAATCATTAGATTTTAGAACATTGATATATTTTCATATAAGTTTTAGAATTGTCATAAAATTTTTGTATTATCTTATAGTTCTGTAACATAAGAATTATAATTAAATATTAAAAATTATAAAAATTGCTTTTTTTATATATATCAATATATATATTATTGGTTTGAAGGCTGTTGTTTTCTTACATATTTAATGATTTGGTTTGTTGCCAGATCATTAAATATGCTCACATGCTAAAAATAATAATTCTCTTGTTTTTAAATTATTTTAGTTAGAAAAAAGACAAGAACGTAGAGAAGAAGCCCAGAAACAATTGGAAAAAGCAGAAGAATTAGGTACATTGATTTACAATATTTATGACTATATTAACTAACTAGCAGACCCCGCCACACGATGTTGTGGCTCAAAATGTATCTATTATAAATGTATAACACTTCTCTGGGATTTTTCGAAAAATCCCTTCTTAGTGTACATTCTCTTGACGTACTCTATTAAATCACAATCAAAAACATAAAAAAACTGCATCTAAAATAGTAAAAATAGAAGCAGAGTTCTTCACGGTAAGCCTTAATCCTGTCCATCTCACCCCAGTGGGGGGAATTTCAACACATATATTATATAAAAACACATGCGTATTCAAATGCAACGTTGTGTCAAAATTTGAAAGGAATCGGTAGGAACAAACGAACATTACATTTTTATTTATATAGATAGATAGAAGATGATCTGCTTTAGTTCATCCTCACAGAAAAGCATAATGCCTCACAGAAATGCAAACGTAGGTCATCGTACTCACGGAGTTAGTGCCATCTGTTGGACATAAAAGCCTTAATCCTAGATGATATTTTTTAATTTATATGAATATTTAACGGAATAATATACAGCCTATGTCCACCCTGAAGTTCCATTCTAAATATTGGTGAAAGAATTTTTGAAATCGGATGAGTAGTTTCAGAGATTACCTCCCATATCCAAACTTACAAACTTTGCCTCTTTATAATATTAGTATAGATGTAAAAATACATTCCTAAAATAAAGATCTATTTTCTATGATTAAATGTACTTAATGTACATCACTGAGTATGATAAAACAGATTGCTTATATTTAATATTCTACATGCTACTAAAAGTTGTGGTTTGTTTCTTTTTGGGTCAAATATTTTTTTTGTTTTGAATATATATTATGATTTTTATTAATTGTTGCTACTATTATTTAAACAATAAAAGTAACTAGAAAATAAACTGGAATCGATAAAGCCAGATCTCCCACATTCTTGTTAGAGAAACCTCTCCTTCACTTGTTACAATGCCATCTTGATGCATACAGCTTTACTGTCTCTGATTCCAACACACTACTCACCAAACTCCATAATATAAATTTAAATGGGAACGAATATTTTACTGTATTCGATTTTGTATCGATGTTCCCTTCCATTCAGTTGTAACCATGTTTCTGTGCGCTAAGAGATTTCTTGCTCACTACTACACCTAACGTCCAGAGATTCTATTCCCAAATATTAGAACTGATGCATCTAATATGCTATTCTTCTTTTTTCTACTTTGATGATCAAACTTACATCCAAAAAAAGGGAGAGTACCAATAGGTAGCCCTATCTCGGGATCTGTGCGAACTCGTTTTACAAAAATTAGAAGAAAGAATCTTAGTGAACTTACAATACAATATCCTAAGCTATACATGGTATGTAGATGATATTTTGATTATATAGAAAACCAAACCTGATATAGGAGAAGTGTTAAAAGTGTTTAACAACAACACCTATGGCCTAGCACCAGAGTTAGATCAGGAAAGTCACACAGAAGTTAATTATTTGGATGTCAAGATTCGTATGGCAAATAAAAATATAACCAAGTCTATTTACCGCAAACCCACGTACAGTCCTCTTTTCATATCTGCTAACTCAGCAGACCCTTGACCTTTTAAGGTAGCAGCATTCCAGGCCCTAGTCTCAAGGGCCCATTGCTTGGAAACTTCTGATAACTACAATGAACTGAATCACGTCAAGTGTATAGCATCTGCACACGGGTACCACCAGTCCTTAATAAACAGGCTCACTGCCAACCAGCTATCTACAATAATTTCCACCAAAATGAGAGTTAATGATGCAGAGCATAATTGGGTTGTTATATCTTATGAACTGTCCCTCCAACAAATTTATAATAGAATTGCTAAGGATTTAAACTTGCACTTAACTTGTAAGAGAAAATGGAACATTTTTCAGCTCTTATCTAATGCAAAAGACAAATCCGATGACAAGAAAGCACCAGGAGTTTACCTCATTCCATTGCAAGATGAAAGTTTCGATAGATGTATAACATACATCAGATCCACTTACAGATCACTAGAAGCTAGGATACGGACCACAAATATGATGTGTCTGAGTGGAAGTATAATACTGCACTAGCCCAGTATGCTACTGAACTTGGGGTTTCTCCTTGTTGGGATGAAGCTGCTCTTTTACACAGGGCTTTTGACTGACACGACTTACATTCATTGGAGGCTCTTGAAATTTCATAGCGAGCATGAAGGGAGGTTGCATTAATTCCAACTATATTCTGGTTCCACAATTGTGGAAATATTATTTACAATGCCACAAAGCATAACGATAATTTTTTGATGTGTGTGATGATGCATTTAGCTTTAGGCAACGTAAAGGAAACAATTTTCCTTATCGAACATTATTTATGTCCTTCATAATTGAAGTTTAGACTATGTACAAAAAGTCAAAAATAACTTTTCAAGTCTATCTTTATCCCTTATACACCACCATAGAAGTAACAGTTTTAAAATTGCTTTGAAGAATACTTAAACACAGGTAAAAATTGGTAGAAAACTTCACAATGTTAAAAAAGATCAAGTGTCAGCCTTTTCTTGTAGGTTATGACATATGCAAATAATGTAGATACTCATAACTACCACTAGAGGGCCAGAAGCAGTTTAAAAAGTGGATAAAAATAATATGGTATGAAGAATTCTTTTGTGTTTTTAATTGTAAAAGTGTCAGAACCTACTAGAAAAGGCTGACACTTGATCTTTTTTGACATTGTGAAGTTTTCTACCAATTTTTACCTGTGTTTAAGAAGTGTTCTTCAAAGCAATTTTAAAACTGTTACTTCTATGGTGATGTATAAGGGATAAAGATAGACTTGAAAAGTTATTTTTGACTTTTTGTAAATAGTCTAAACTTCAATTATGAAGAAAATACATCCTGAGTCATCACAAAAATCATTTATATGTTAAAACATCAGGCTAACTTTTACAATACCATATATTATATTATTAATGAATTTATTTATAGCTTTTAGTTAAAAAACAATTTATTTATATATTGTAATATGTAACGATCTTTGTATTCAAAAGTGTTTAAATGTTTAAAGATTAGAACACAGCTATATTTGAAAACTAAAACTTTTCAAAAGATAGAACTGTTTTTTCTGTTGTATGCATTTTTCCTGATGAGGTCCTCTAAAAGACGCCAAAAACGTTTGAAAATTAAAGTTTATTTTTGTTCATTTACTTCAGGAATTAGCATTTAGGTGTGAATTTGTGTGTTAAGTTATAACTCTGGCAGACAGTAACCACAGACCTTTAAACTTAAACTCTGAACACATGGACATAGCTCAACACACTAATAATATATACAACCCTAAGCAGTCATGGGGTTCAAAGTGTCTTTTGGGCACTTTGTGGCAGGTATGCTTATGACCTAGCTCAGGATTATGCTGACAAAACTGCATCAAAACTACTGGCTGACTAGGGGCTGCCAGTTTGGAGAGACTGGGGGTTTTATGTTTGCCATTTATGATCAGGTCATAAACACTAAAAACTACAGAAAACACATTCTGAAGGCTACATCATTCACAAATGACTCGTGCATAAAATGTCACATTCTGCCAGAAACAATATAATATATAACCTCTGCTTGCAAACTCTTAGGCACAAACAGACTATTTACATATACATAATCAAATAGCAAATGTAATACACTAAGAGCTTGCACACAAACACAGATTAAACACCCAGGTACCATACTACAAATATACTCCATAGGCAGTTTTAGAAAATGAAACACACACAATATACTATGACAGAGCCATAATCACAGATAAAACAATTCATAACAATAGACCTGACATCACTCTTATTGACAAATGCAGTAAGATTGCTTATATAATAGACATCTCCATTCTAAACACTCATAACATAAAAAATGCTCACACTGAAAAAAATCAAGTACACTCCACTTACACAAGAAATAAGACAGATATGGAGAATGGATAAGGTATTTATTGTACCTGTTGTCCTCTCTTTCACTGGTGTTATACCATGTACTATACACTACACAAAAGTCTGGAAACATTAAACCTTAATAAAAACATATACATGGCACTACAAAAATATGCAATATTGAACACATGTCACATTGTTAGGAAGTTTCTAGATGTTGACACATACCAATAACACAGAGGCTTAATGTAATACTTGTTCGGGTAGCTATGCCTTGACTTTAGTCTGGCATAGCACTTGGAACCAGTATCAGCTGAGCATGCATTTGCAGCATGTATGTTACTGTGAATGACTGATATCTGGCAAATGTCAACATTCTTCAGTGAATGTCAGCATTCACACAGTCGTTTCATGTATATACGAAATATTTGCTAAATATTGTTATTTCTCACTTACACCGGCAAATGTCGACATTCAGCATGCACTGATGGTGAATGTTGAATAAAAATATTTTTATTACGTTAAAACAAAAATGCAACTTTTTAATATGTCAAAATAGGAGAAAGTTTAAGTAACAGTACATGTAAATAAACTATTGAACCTAAAATGAACAATACATTCTAAATCATTAAAGAAAATAATACAATAATAAACTTACACATAAATTATGTGATTAACGTTATACAATGTTATTTATTGCAACAACTTAAACTGTTATGGCACTTTGAATTGCACAAGAGTCCCTTGCTTTTACAACTGCATTTATTTATGGAACACTTCTTTTTGCGATGACAGAGTGTATAGCCTTGCCCTCCACTTTTCGAATTTGCTGCAGCTGCTTCTGTCAGTGATATTTCTTGAGAAGAAATCTCATCTATGGAAAGTAACTTTTCTTTACAAATTACGAACTGATTTGTTAATGGTATCTTTTATTTGGATATTGCCGACGACCCTTCTCATCCTCCACCACTCTACCTGACAAAACAATCCCCACCTCATGGGATCAAAAAAACAAACACGCCATCCAGTGACAAAGTGGGCGGTTTACACCAAACTGTTGCCGGGAAAAGAGGTACAACCTTGTCCTACTTCCAGCTACCCACAAAGGATTTGGCAACAGACTGTTGCCTCTTTGTTGACATTGGCTTCTCGGGTGTCGTTTTGACCTCCACCAAAGCTTATCTGTGCTTGTCGACATACACTGGCAACTGTTCAAATGTATAATAATATAACCAAATATTTGGTCTTTCACTGATGTATTTACATTCACCGGAGAATATCAACATTCTTTAATTTCAGTCTTTTACAGTAACATATATATATTGCAAATGGATGCTTTGTTATTTATATATATAGCATGCAAGTAAACAACATGTGTCTGGCAAGAACCTCACAGGTTGCCAGATAGGTTTTATAAAAAGTAAAGCAGAATTCCTCAAAACGTAATTTAAATTATTTTTAAAGTGGTCCAAAAAGTAGTAAGTTGCCCAAATTTAATAGCCTAGAGCAGTGGTTCCCAATTAGTTTTTCCTGTGTACCACTTCAAGAAAGAGCTCAAACTTGCATACCCCTTATAGCAGAAATTCATATTAATCCATACTAATATTATAAATTTGAAGATAATGCTGTCTGTCTGTCACCTTTTCACGTCTAAACCGCTGAACAGGTTTTAATAAAATTTGGCACAGAGATAGCTTACATGTTGGAGATGGACATAGGCTACATTTTACTGCGAGAAAATATCTTACTCCCACGAGAAAATTCAATATAATGCGGGCGAAGCTGTGGGTAGACAGCTAGTGATAGAATAAGTTTTTTTTTTACATTTATTACCTTTAAAATACAATTCTAATAATAATGAAAATAACATAAGGTTATTTAATTTTAATGCAAAAATGTGCACGATTTTCTTTGCACAACTTTGTAAAATCTGGTTGCTTTTTGGTCAGCTTCACTCTCGAGTCATCTTCGAGTTGAAGTCGGTGATAATGTTTAGTTATCGTGTTTGTCACGGCCGAAAATCTGCTCTCGCAGAGGTATGTTGTGCAAAATGGTAGTAAATATTTTATTGCAGCTTCGTTGACACGATGATAGTGATAATTGTACAATTAACAAAAAGTGTGCAATTAACACAAATTGTGTTAATTGTACACTTTTTGTTTCTTGCGTAAGAATTTCATTTAGGTATTGTCACAAATGCATTTTTTAAATGTAATTTCGAGAATATTTTTAGTTATAAATAAATGAATTTGTGCATTCGATATCATGCTGTAAATTGCAGAATTTTTGATGGTCCCTCCATTATTTTTTTGATTGCTTCATCTCATGCATTTAAATTTTAAATCGACCGATTTTAGATTGCCGCGCGTACCCCTTCACGCAATTTCGCGTACCTCCAGGGGTACGCGTACCACTAATTGGGAACCAGTGGCCTAGAGCCCTACAAATATCTCAATCTGCTTCTTGTAGCCCAATCTTGCAATCCCAAAACCCAGCCATATCTTATGAAATAAGAGGAAAAAAAGGGTAGGAAGGTGACACCTGAAAATGTGTTACTGTAAAGCCTTATTGACCAGATTAGAGTTGTTTTTGGTCTGTTGTTCTATTATAGTATGGAGGTACTTTGATCTGAATGAACAAATTAACATACACATATTTCAGTTTGGACAAAATTTTCATTTCAAATTTCGAATTGGCTGTATTTCAAACTAACCAAATTCTTTAAAGTGTAAATCTCTATATCCCCAGCTGGGAAAAAAGTACAGTTTTGAACTATCCAAGTTCAAATTAATGGGGATTTTCTGTATGTCATAAAATTACTTTTTGTATTTTATTTCTGATAAACTATATTGTAATATTTTAAATTTTGTGATGAATATTATTAAGAGTTTACTTAAATGTATGAACATACTATTAAATTTTTTATTTGCTTGATTTTGTTATAATTGAAAGAGAATTTATTTTTACTTTTACATACATTACTATAATGTAGCATGGTATACTAAAAATTTGTTTTAAAAAATGCATATAAAAATAAAAGTACATTAAAATTGAAATAGAATGAGTTAATATTAGAATTATGTATCTTTGTGACAATTTTCTACTGTTTTAAAGACTATTATTTAGTTTTTTCTTGTTTAATTCTGTATTTCTGTCACCTAAAAAGCTATTTTATCAATCTAATTTATAAAGTTAAAATTGTTCCTTAGATATAACAGAAAAAATATGATATTAAGATAAAATCTTGCACTAATTTTCATCTTTATGTAAACTATAATTTTTACAAAGGTAAAGTTATACTTTAGTTAATTTCTTTTTTTATATTTTATTAATATTTTGGTTAAAATTTCAAATGTTTATAATTATACCAATGAAACTATTTTATTGTGTTTAATATGAAATGTTTTAATGTTTTAAAATGAATGAATATAAAGTCATTATAACTTGTGTTATTTTTCTAAAACAATTTTTTTATTATTATATTATTAAATTTTAATTAAAATATTTTATATACAGTAGAACCTCGATTATCCGGACTAATTGGGGATGAAGGTAGTCCGGATAAGGGAAAATCCGGATAATCGAAACAAATACTTTAATTTGTCTTTTAATGATAATACAACACGTTTTCTTTTCGATGACATATCGGCAATATTAAAAGTAAATACTGTATTTAAATCGTGATCAAATTTTCAAGAAACAAACGTTCATATTGAATTTGGACTACTACTGACCAACGCTAACAGACTACCTATTGTTTAAAAGGCCCTCTGGTGGCGCAAGAAGACAGATTTTATAAAATAAAAAACAGTTGAAACTGCATTTTTACGAATAAAAATTTGATAAACTATTTATCGTTTTATGACGAGTAAAATTTTTTCGTCGCGTTCGCGGCTTTTAAGTAATGCATAAACTTTCGAGGCGCGAGGCCCTTCGGACCGCGAGGCGTAGGCGGTGGCCCACGTCGCCCATGCCTTACGCTGCCCTTGGTCATAGAAATGATGTAATTTGAAAATAAATTATTTATAAATACGTATGTCAAGTTATATTTTTATTACGACGTAAAATATATTTAAGAGTTTACGACCACTGTGCTGGGTGAGACGTTATTGAAACAAAAAAAGTTATGCATTCCATCACGTACATAAACAGTGTCGTAATTCGCCAAGTGCAGATCAGCAAATTCGTAAAATTTTTGTTTATTTTGAACAATCCGGATAATCGAAAATCCGGATAATGGAGGTCCGGATAATGGAGGTTCTACTGTACTTCAGTTTTTATCTTTAGAAATAATGGTTACAAATCCTTTATCTTAAAAATTCTTATTCATAGGCAATATTGAAGAAGTGAGTAAATTTACTAGAAGATTGGTTAAAGTAACTCGTCAGCATAATGAAGACTGTAAAACATTATTGCAACTCATGGGCATCCCTTACATAGAAGTAAGAATTTATATGTAGTATTTATTTCTTTAAAAAAAAATGTCAAAAATACAAATGCAGTGGGTGATCGGTTAACGAACATAATCCGGTCCAAGACTTTGTTCGTTATCTGAATTGTTCGTTAACCAATTATCGATTTATCATAGGTTTTTATGGGAATTTGATTAATTCGTTCTGGAGACTCCAAAAAATAAAAAATATATACTTTTACTACATTTATTTATATGTAATAGTAAAAATACATATATATATATACAGTCTTGCATTTTTATTAGTCATGTTTTTTCTGTTTGTGGGGGTTAAAGAATCTGTCCAATGTTGATTGCTTTTCTCTTTTCTTCAGGATTTTTCAGAAGTAATTAATAGCATTGTAATTGTAGAGATCCCCAATCCCATTAACCTTATTCTGGTTTGGATGCCACTTGGATGATCATTGTTCTGACATCCCTGGAGTGCTTCTGTCGTCAGATCAGTTTCAGGTTCCATTATGAGCTCTAAAATGCTCTTTATTTTTCAGATGTGATTTTCATTACTCCATTAGCAGCTTGAGACTTCTTGATATATCTTTCATAGCTAAGATTGTGCTTACTGTAGACCTGTTCAAGACATATATCTAGCAATATCAGACATCTTGTGCCCGCTTTCTACTTTGGCAATTATCTCTTGCTTGGTTTCTATGGTGAGCACAGTTCTTGACACTCCTCTTTTTAGGCTCCATAATATTATCAGTTTCTTTTTTAAATAAAAAGTCCAGAAAAGCATTTACAAAAATTCAGAGAACAGAAATCAACTAGCCCACAAAACATTATTTAAATGTAAGGCCCGGATGAAATTTGAAATTTGTATTAAAACATTAATGATTATCCGATGGGACAGTTAAACTTTCACCTTTTGTAAATAAATTCCGACGCAAAACTTAACAAGTGCCCGTCTGACAGTCTCACGAATACTATAAAAAATTATTTGTTAGAAAGATAAACAAAAAGCTGGAATTACAAGGGAGAGTTTCAAAATTTGGAAGAATAATATCTGATCGGTATCAGGTTGAGCGTCGATGTTGATGTCTCCTGCGCTTTGAAAGGTTTCGATTTGTTACCTGAAGACAAGGAAAAATCAATCAATATTCGTTATTTTCCATTGCTTCTTTTTATGTTTGTTCAGTTAAGTGTTCGTTATCAGAGCATGTGTTCGTTGTCCGATCATAAAAAATCTTTCGCGAAAGTGTTCGTTATCTGATTTATTCGCTATCAGAACTGTTCGTTAACCGATCACCCATTGTAATATTCTGATAGAGCCAAATGAGAGTAAAGCAATTACTTTAAGAATCTATCATAAAATTTTAATTAAATGAATATATGTAATTTTTTAAATGTCATCATCAAATTATATAACTTGCAAAATAGAATATCAGATAGTAAAATATATAAATAAAATTCAAATTTGATGTTCTGCAAGCTACATAACCTGAAGATGGGTTTATGAAGTTGGAAGCATTAGTTTAATTAAAATTACTAATGTAATTGCTCTATAAATACAAAAACTAATTTTTGAGATTAATATATTGCAGGTATGTGTATGTGTGTAAATTTTTAATTATATTTGATATAAGGAGTAATCTGATAAAAGTTTGAGTAAAATAAGACTTCTTACAGAAAACAAAATAGTATGGTTGAGAAGGAATATCAAATATATTATCAGAAAAAAAATTTCAAATTAAAATAAATATTTTAAAAAATATATAATATTTTATTGCATTACAAGTATTAATATTTAAGTACAGTTTTTAATGTTTCATAGAATGTCACAGAATCAGTATCTCTCCAAAACTGGGATTATATAAACACACAGCACCACCAGTATGAAAAGAAAGTGTACTAACATTTTCGTTTATATAAAAATAGACATCATCAGGTAAAAACGATATAGAACAAATAGAACAATATGGCTAACAAAAATCGTTTATATAGACGAAAACATTAGTACATTTTCTTTTCATGCTGCTAGTGTTACTGTTGTGCATTGTTTGTTTATCACACAGAATCTGTGGTTAATGGATGTTACCCACATGACATCACTGCTATGTGTTGTCAGATACATACAACCAACATAATAGTTGTATCACTATTCAAGTCACTATTAATGTTAATAGATTTTACTCAAATAAATATTTTAGAGTACTTTGCACCCCAAGTGAAAATAAAAAACAGACAAGTTTGTGATTCTTTGTATATATTGTTAAATTAAAAAGAGCAATGATTTATGAAATAAAATTTATTAATGATCTTACATTTGAAGAATATAAGAGTACAAAGAAACAATCTAAACTCCTCAGAATATATAGTGAAATACCAGCAGAAATGAGAAAGAAAATATAAAATGTAACAGTTATAATTCCTATGGATAGTGAAGTAAGTAATATTAAAATTTGTTTGGTAACAAATTCTTATATATCATAATAATTTTAAAAATTTTTAGTAATCATAAATGAAATTGATCTAAAAAGTTTCTATTACTTATAAAATGTATATATTTTTTAATAATATTTGGTTGTTATTAGAGCAACTAATATTTAATGTTAAGTGTGTGTATGTAGATATTTAGAAACTTTGTATATATGTATAATATCTTAAAAAATGATATTACAGCAACAGATTACATAAGATTTCAAGTGAAGAGCTATAAACAAATTGATAGAATTTTAAATATTTCAAGAATATTACTGTAATGTATTTATTTCTAAATTCTAATGTATGTTTAATACCATCCTTAGAAATTTTTTTTCTTTTTTGAAATGTTCTTAATTGCTACAATAAGCAATTATTTGATAAATATGGTATTTTTTTTTACCATATTTATCAAATAATTGCTTATTGTAGCAATTATTTGATAAATATGGTACATAAATATACAAAAAATTGTGTGTTTAACTTGCTTTTTTTAGCAAGTTAAACACACTTGCTTTTTTTGGAAAACATCAATTTTATTTTTCAAATTCTCAATTTTATATTGAGAGCTATACACTTGATCTAGCACGTTTTTATACCATTGAAAAGGTAGTTTTTGTCAAGGTCTGCAAAATATGCATTAATGGCAGTAACAACATCCTTACTCAAAATTAGGAAATGCTGTATAATTTTGTGATGTGTATTAAAAATAAGCTAATCCACATTAACAATGGTTTTAGTAAATTTTAAACAATGTGACAACATTGAAACATATAGCTCCTATACTGCCTCTTTCAAATATTTAATGCTATGATTTAATCATTTTAATCTAATCAAATAAGAAAATGAATGAAGCATGGAAAATAAGATTACTATTTTAAAAATTACTTATCAAATTTTTCTTCTAAAATTATACACAGTTTTATAAGTTTTGAATATATGAATAGAATTTTTTAAAGTTTCAGATAAGATTAAACAGAACATGCTCAGCAAGTAATTAGCTTATCACAACATACCTTTCTTGTTGCCGAGATAGTTTTATTGAAAACTAACGTTTTCAGCCTACCCTATAGGCCATCCTCAGGCTTAACGAGATAATTGGAATATTGGCAATCCATTAAATAAAATACATATGTTCAAATTCAAAAAATTGACAATGGAAAAATAAGAAAATAACTGAAAAAATAATATATACAAATACACAATAAAAAAAAAACAAACATAAATTCACTAATAATACTTTAAATAAATGTTGAAATAAATTGTTAAGGTATAATTGATGAAATATGTAACTATATACTGTACTAAGGTAAGATTACGAGCTCTCCAACGTTAGCAAGGAGCGATGAAAAAATTGAAATTTACAAGAGCAAACTCGAAGAGGTATGCATAAATGCAAGGGATGCAGAAGGCCTATCAACGGCATGGAAATTTATAGTCAAAAAGTTTGCCATGAACTCATAATCTTACCTTAGTACAGTATATAGTTACATATTTCATCAATTATACCTTAACAATTTATTTCAACATTTATTTAAAGTATTATTAGTGAATTTATGTTAGTTTTTTTTTATTGTGTATTTGTATATATTATTTTTTCAGTTATTTTCTTATTTTTCCATCGTCAATTTTTTGAATTTGAACATATTTATTTTATTTAATGGATTGCCAATATTCCAATTATCTCGTTAAGCCTGAGGATGGCCTATAGAGTAGGCCGAAAACGTTAGTTTTCAATAAAACTATCTCGGCAACGAGAAAGTTGTGTTGTGATAAGCTATTCAGATAAGATATTCTAAATATAATTTAATAAATATTAATTAGTTATAATAGCAATTTTTTGGTTAAAACATTCTGTGAGATCTGAATAGCCACCGGGTCTAAAATAATAATTTAAAAGGAAAGTAAAATCTTTCCCGAAAAATATTCTTTCATTTTGATGGAAAAATAGCATTTTTCTAGTGTGGGAAAACAGCTAGGAGAGTCACTTCCTTTGACGGAAGTATGAGCATCCTCTGTTTTTCCCTTATCTGCTAAAAATCTCGCTTCGATGGGAAATGTTTACCCCTCATTTCTACCCCTTCCCATCCGTCCATATGGGAAAATCCGAATACAATGATTGGTCGTAAATGGGAAGATATTGGCGAAATTTAACCGAATTCGGGGAGTTCGTCAGAAAATCTCATAGAGGAGAGACGTCTCCCATATTGGCTCCACACCGCCCTTAGAAGTTCGTCGTCAGATCCGAGAGTGACCAGACTCCATTCAATTGTTCTCTAAGACCAACGCCTCGTCATCCCCTAACAAGTTACTTTTAAGTTATCAATGAAGTACTTTCCCGAATAAGAAGACAACACTGCCAAGTAAACAGGTCGTATGTTTAAGACTAAATTGTGAGCTCTCTCTCTCGTAAATGTATAGTTTGAGAATACATTTCTCTCTCGACTCAGTATAGACTAAGAATAGATTTCCTCCTGTTGCAATTGATTTGATTATTCGTTCTTTAATTGACTGTTTTAGATTATTTGATTATTTCTTGTTTTGTATTAGTATTGTGTATTTTGTTTATTAAATTCTCTATATTTGTTAAGAGATGTCTCTGGACTATTTCCTGAATCAGATTGACGGCATAAATTTCACGCGTGTTTATCCGCGTTACTCAAAGTAGATAAACTGGTGTCGGGACCCTGACATAAGGAAAAAAGTGAATTCACCATCACCAACTTCCGCTTAAAATATTAACTGTAAGACCCTCCACCACTCGATTTCCTATTAAATAGGAAAGCCGTTCTTGTAGACGACCGAGACTATTCACGGAATAGATTGCCTATTAAGTGATACAGGAGTAACAAACTACTCTGTACCCCAGGCTGGATCTCACAATTCCTATCTGTATTTTTTTTTAATATGATAAAATGAAACAAATCTTTTTATTATGAATTTATTTTTTTTAATGAAGGCTCCTTGTGAAGCAGAAGCTCAATGTGCAGCTATGGTGCACTCTTCAAAAGTATATGCAACAGCAACAGAAGATATGGATGGGTTAACTTTTGGATCAAATGTACTTCTTAGACATATGACTTTCAGTGAAGCAAGGTAAGTAAATTATAAATTAAAATTAAGAATTATAATAAAAATGTTTAATTAAATTATCTGAATGACTGATTTGAATCAATAAACAAGTAATTGTAATCTCAGCTTTATAAATCATATACTAAAACCCAAACAAAAAAAATTTTGTGTTACTAAAAAAAATGAGTGTTTGCTTTCAGTGGAGACAAATTGTTTTTTTCCTCTCTTCAGATAGATATATGGTTTATATGATGTAAAGACTGCTTTTGGCTATAAAATTTGAGAGTCAAATTGACTTGCTTGTTCCAAAGTTAAGAGTCAAATTTTAAAATTTTCAAGCTGAGATAATTTTTTAATGTTAATAAAAAACATTGTAACATTATAAAAGAACAATATATTCAGAAAAGGAAATTTGTTGTCATTAGATTATCTTGCTTTTGTTGAACATATCATGCAAATTAACAGTAGAATGGCCAGCAAAATGATCTACCTAGAATATCACACCAGTCAAATTGACTGGTGCAACTAACTTATTTTTTTCTTTTTTGTTATGTTTCATTTGCCAATGGATTGTTGAATTAAACCTACATATTAAATGTCAAACATTTTTATTTTTTATTACAAATTACAAACATAAATTTTGCATTTATTACAGATATCATAAATTTTATTCCCATATGTTTTTGCTTGAAAAATTTTTCTTCTGTTGTTAGTATTATTATTGTTTATTTTCACTTTGAGCCGATGTTCCTTCTTGTACTACTACTATTTTGTTTTTTCTGTCATTCCTTCAGCTAATTGTAGTATGACATTTTTCCTTTTAATTTTCTTTTCAGTTTGTACGATATATTTGCAGTAGTGAGGTCTCTAAAATATTGTAAAAAGTATGAACTGGCCATCTTTGTGATGATGCTTTTACAGTGTACTTTCTAGCCATCTGATCAGTCACATCAGCACCATACTTGGTTTCATTATTTGTAAAAGACTGTTTCTGGCTTTTTTGTTTGTATTTGAATCTACTGCAACTGATGCGTGTAAAGTACTGAGCAGAAAAAGATTTTTAATTAGTTTTGCTTGATAAACTAAGTGTGAACTTACTTTCTTCTGTCTTCAACAATGCAATTTCATGTAGATCTTTTTTGTTATTTTTGATAATATTTAGAACTTCTCTTCTTGATTTGTTTACTGTTTGCACAATATTTGTACAGTAGACCCCCCTATAATGCAGATTTGTATATCGCGGCAAAAAAATTGCAACTGTATTCGTATAAAGACACTAAAAGAAACTTGTAAAATGCGGTAAAACATCATTGCTGATTCGTGTCGCTACAGGATTGGTTGAATCTGGACCAATAGTGGACAAGCAGCCAAACTACTTATACACTACGAAGAGTTTAGGCGGGTAAGTTGAGTTTACTATCGTCTGTACAGTATATAAATTAGGTACTGTAAGTCTAATACAGTATTGTAATTTTATACATTTCTTGTGAAAAAAACATTTCTTATTCAATGGTCATAAAAATTATTTCTATTAATGATGTCTCCAAAGTTCAACGAATTTTTCACAAAAAAATAACTTATCAGAAAACGTACCCCCTGTTTGGTGCATTGCTCTGCGACGAAAACAAGCTTAAGCAATGGTGTTGTTGAACGGTGCACACTCGGTAAATAATCCTACAATTTTTTGTTTATAGCATAGTTTATATGGATTATTCCCAAAAAATTATACATGTTTTGGAAATGTTGAGTCAAATTAGTCTAGAATTGATTAATTTTATGGAAGAAAACCTTTTAAACAGCCATAGTCCGTAAACTGCACACATGCCGGGCTGTGATTGGTTCATGTATTTAAGGATTCCTACAACGCGAAATTCTTATAAAGTGGAATGTATCTACCACATTATAGGGAGGGTTGACTGTATTTATATTTAGTAATCTTTGGCCAATTTTACACTAAGGAAGAAATTGTCAGTAGTAACATTTCTTCCTTTTTTTGTAAATGGTTCTAGAAGTCTTAGAACAATGTTTTCTGATAAGCTTGGTCTTTTTGTCTCATATTGTTTTTCATAAAATATGGAAAGGCATTCAACACATTTAGTTTCAGTATCAACAGCAACTCAGAATTTTATACCAAATTCGTTGGGATTGTTTGCCCTATATTGGTTAAATTTGCATATAACCTTTGTTGAAAATTGTTGTTCATTAATGGTCAAAATGTTTTATAATATGTTGAAAAACAAATATCATATACAGGAGGCATAATATACACACACAAAAAAATTAAAATTTGAAATTAAATTATTATAAAAAAATTTTTTAAATATGTTTTGCTTACCATGGATATCTAAATCCAACTGTGCTCACAATCTTTCTTTCATATTTTTAAATATTGTTATTGCTTTTTCATATGAAAACTCTGAAACTTAGATAAGCAAGTCTCTTGAGATAAATGACAAAAAATTTTGTGGGATTTGCTTGAGTGCATCTAAAAGTCTTGAAGTCTTTCCATAGATAATTGTTTATGACAACTTTTTTTTGTTACACATAGATCATGTGGATGACCATTTATTAAAAGTTATTCACCATTTATTATTCATAAACTGTTGTAAACACAAGATGATTTGGGGATATTTTTGCATAAACACTCATCTTAATTTTGATAACTTTTCTTTGTGCAACTTTCTACTGTAAAAATTTATATTTTATAGTGAAAGGTTTTCCAGTTATTGCAATATTTTAATTTACATAATAACAACAAGCTGACACTACACTTTGGGGTTGGTGATGTGATATGCATCAACCAATGCTATCAACATCAACTTGCAGTGTCATCAAATTCCTCATTCTATTTCTCAAAGATGGCATTTCATTTGATCATTCAATGGAATTATATATTATATTGTTATAGCAAAGGATATTCATAATAATTCCTGGTGAAATTTTCATTTATTAGATAGAATCCGGAATTTTTTTTATTTTCCTAAAAACTGAACTTTCTACACAAAAGTTGGAATTGCGTTTATTTTGTAATTTTCTGTATATATCTTTACATAAATTTGCAAGACCAATAATTTAAACACAATTTTAAATAAATTTCAAAAGTCATTTTTTGTTCTATTTACAGAAGATAGTGAAAAATAAGTTTTTCAGATCTATTTGTATTCAGTAATTGTTACATTTCTTTTCACAGAAAATATTTCATATTGAATTTAATGGAATGTTTTGTTAATATAGTTTCCTGCCAGATATCATAATTATAATATAAAAAGAAAAAAATAGACACCAAGTTTTAGATTATTGTATTATGTAAAATTTGACTTTGAATGAAGATGTAATAGATTTCTGTAATGTGCTTCTTGTCTAGTCTGTATTCAATTTATGAGCTCTATGATGGCTTTTCTTTTTTGCTAGACTTATTACACCATCATTCAGAAACAGGACAAGCTTTAGAAAATCTCATTTTATTTCCTTGAAGTCCAAAATGCATACTCTAGGAAATAAAATGTGATTTTCTAAAGCTTGTCCTGTTTCTGAATGATGGTGTAGTAAGTCTAGCAGAAAAGAAAAAAGCAGTCATAGAGCTCATAAATTGAATATAATAGATTATTGTAAATTTCTACAAATTAGTTATAACTGCAATCTATAGTTTTATAGTTAAAGCTACTTGGAATTAACAGTTTTTAAATGAAACCTATTGGAAATTTCCAGTAGATTTCTCTTGTAACAAATAAGTCCATTATGTCATAAGCAAAGTTAAAAACCATAAAATTACTAAAATATTCAAGGTTACTATTTTATTGTGATAAAATGTTTAGCTAGACAAATCCAAAAAATTCAGAGAACAGTGTATTCAATGAGATCAAATAACTAGTTTAAACAGAAAATTGCTAAGTTTTTAAATTCATCTAGAATGTTTTCAAAAAATATTTTGTGTTTGAATTAGTGATTTGTTCTTTGTTGAATATTTTATTGTTTGAATTTTTTTTTATCTGATTGATGATACTTACATTTTCTTGGACAACTTTTTATCACAATAAATCATTGAATCCTTGAAGTTTATTAGTTTTTTTATTTTATTTGTTTTCAAAATTTTATTTAAATTATTACAGGAAGACTATGGATTCTATTGCATGAAAATTTTCATTATTATTTCAGAATCCAAACATGTTATGCTATAATTATTTACAAAGCTTAAACTATACATTTTTATCACAAGTCTGATAAAGTTAGCTAAAATTTTACTTTGTCTAAAAAATGAAAAATATTTTATTATACAGTCAGACCTCGGGTTACAAACACCTCTGTTTAAGAACAAAATTTTGAATGCCCTATTTGCTCCAGTTGCCATACAATAACTTTGTTTTCGAACAAGCTACTTGGTAGAGCTGGCCACCAATGCTCAACTTTCTATACTTCCTATGTTATAGAAAGTTGATGGACCAACCAATCAATGACAGGACTACCGATTCAGAAGTTAGTGGTGCCAAGATCATCTTATGTCATTAGACATCACAACATGAACCATCAATGACATTGTTATTCAAATTAGGTTTCAATGCGCATGTGGGTAAGATACTACTACCGGTTTTCAGTATGTGTCATAGTTCAATTTAAATCAAATTAATTAATAAAAACCATATTAATTGACATTTGTGTAATATAAATGACATCCAGTAATTCATATTTAAAAGTGCTTAACTCAAATTAAATAACAAAAATTTATTATTAAAGGTTTTGTTTTGGGGGTTGGGAACAGATTTGTGAGACTCAGCACTACATAATTTATTTACATAACTAAATCATAACATAACATTTGGACAATAAAATTTTGTCAGATAACTGTCAACTTTCACACCTGGGAGTTAATTGTTTGTTAAGTTCTCAGTAGCAAAAGTGATGCTTTCTCATAACCTTCCGACCTATTGTCTCGATTTCATCAGTTGGATATAGCAAGGAAATGCAAATTTAGTAAGTCGTCACCTGTTCCTCTTGGAACTTGGTATTTGTAAGTCTCCAACAAATTCTCTATGCCTGTGCCAAATTTTCCTTGATCTGATTTCACCCTCGACAACAGCACCAGTGAGGACCTTCCCCAACTATCTTGACCCAGACTTTCCCAATCCGGAACTTTCCGCAACCCTTCTAGAACAATAACAGACTGCTAGTCTTGACAAAAATCACAACAAATCTATCATCACCTCATGGACATCCCCTACTTCAGGTATTTATCAACTCGCAAATCACTGTAAACTCTCTCTCTCTTGAGAACCGGGAAAATAGCTACTAGACATATTTTTAGTTCAATTCATTATAACTCATTAACGATAAAATGTATAAATTCTCCTTTACAAATAAATGGTTATTTTGTTAACCTAGTCTCTGCATGAGTCACTTCCTGCTCTCTAACATGCGGTCTCCATCCCAAATCCGATCGCCCATGCATGCGGCCGCTCACATGATGGAATCAACACGCCATCTTGGCTTCCATGTCAATTGGGACATGTTAGTGTCAGTCCTGACAAGGCACTAAAGAGGTTTCGATCCTCCAGTCACAGATTAATCCATTTTACATTGTTTCTTATGGGAAAAAGTGTTTCAATTTGAGAACAGATTGGTTTACAAACAACTTTTAGGAATGAATTAAGTTCATAAACTGAAGTTTGACTATATATTATTGCTATCATTAGATATAATATATTTTTAAACATGTTTATAACTCTGAACTCTGCTTCCTGTTTTAAAAATTTTTCACCTATATTATTATTTATTTTTATCTATGAATTTCTTTTAGAAAAATGCCCATCAGAGAATATCATTTAGATAAAGTAATAGAGGAATTAGAAGTTAATCAAAAGGAGGTAAGAGTATTCAAAGTATAGTTATAAGTTTCTTTTAATACTCAGAATGAAAATGTTTTATTGTCCTATTTTTTTCTGATTGTATTCCTTTATGATTTTAAGTTTATAGATCTTTGTATTCTTCTTGGTTGTGATTATTGTGAAAGTATTAAAGGAATTGGGCCAAAAAAAGCAATTGAACTTATTCGTCAATATAGAAGTATTGATGATATTATAGAAAAACTTGATAAAAAGGTAAAAGTTTAATTTAATATTTTAATTTCTTTAAAAGTTTATAAATTGATATAATAAATTATCTGTAACTTCAAAATAAATTTTGTTTTTTATAATTCAATGATAGTTATATAATCAACAACTTTTATTCCAACCACAACTTTTTTTTAATAAAAAAAAAGAGAAAAAAGATTGATTGTGGTTGAAATAGTGATTGAATGTTGCATTTTTATACAAGTTTTTATAACAAAGAGTCTACATGTGTATTGTTGGTATAAGATAAATGTAGTTTGAAATGAAATGCTTGAATTTTTGGAATTTTTTTTAGTTTAATAAAAATTTAATGGTATTAATTTATAATAACAAATTGAGTGGAAATATTAAAAAAAAAATCAAGAAAATACAGGTAGTTGCCAATTTTACAACCATGATTGTGTCCGGTGATTTAATTTGGCAACTTCCATGTCTGGCACTACAAGCTATGCCCAGCTTGGCATACAAAAATTTACAATGATGATTGTAAGAACTAAAATAAATTTTATACAAAATAAACATCAAAGTTATGACAATAGCATAACTTTGATGTTTGTTACACCAACTGTTCCCTTCTTTGTTTGCCCTGTAGCCTACCCGCTGTTAATGTTCATCCTTATCACTTTCAAGTGTTTTTAATAATTTCCACAACTATATTTACTTTTAATATTTCTTGGTTTTCAACAAGAACTACTTCTCATTGTACTTAAAAACTTACACTATCATTCAGATGGTGGTATAAACAGAAATTTTAACCTTTATAGTACAACAGTAAAACTCAGTTAAGATGTTCCAGCATGAAATGTTTTCCCACCTAAGTCATTCAAATTTTGCTGTACCATCATTTCACCCATAAGACACGTAATAAATTTATAGATATTTTGAAATTAAAAATATTTTCAGTGATAGTATCATTTATGTAATATAGAAATTATACTATGTATCAATTCATTTTGCAGAAATATCAAATTCCAGAAAATTGGATGTATAAAGAAGCTAGAGAATTATTTCTTAATCCAGAAGTTACTGATCCAAAAGAAATTGAGGTATAATTTGAAATAATGTTTTAAATTGGGTCAGCAACCTTTTAGGGGTATTGTGCTGAACCTAAGTTATAGTGTTATTCTGGTGCAGACATGATTCTATCAATTTTATTTTATATGTATATATTATCAAAATTGTCCAGTTATAATAGACTTCAAAAATATATAGTTTTAAAATTAATTGAACTATGTTACTTGTGAGGTGCATGCACAACAGAAGGTAAATGGTGACCTGGAGTGTAAATACATGCACTATAATATAAATATACAAGCAAGAGATTCATTTTTAATGTACCTCGGCCTACATTAAATTATGGTTTCCATTTAAATATGTAATTAATAATTAAAATATAATTTTTATTACATTTATATTCAATCAGAGTGCCACTGAAAATCATCCCACATGCCACAGGTTGCCAACCCATTTTAAATAATATACATTTTTAATTTTATTAATATCAATAGTTGTTTATAAATGTATTATTTTTACAGGATGAGCCAAAAGTCCAAAAACTCTGATTTCAAAAAACTCTATTGGGTTTTTTAATGCAAATAAAAATGTTTACATGTTATAGCTATGTTTCCCAGTTCCTTGGGCTTTGAAAACACAATCACAGATGTTTGAAGTGTTCACCATGCTCCTGCAAGCACGAATGCATGCAGTGACACACATTTGTAGCCACACATCTTACTCAGCATGACTAGAGAATTATTATTGATGGTAGCACAGTGTTCCTTTTTAAGAACTGCAGGTTGCTCAGATTATCCCTGTAGCATATTCTTTTAGATAACTCCAAAGGAAGAAATTTGATGATGACAATCAGATCTGGGAGACACTTCAAAATTATGCAATCTTGAAAGAAATCATAAAAGTTTTATCATGGTTGTTGCCATGAGGTATGTTGTGCTGTTTTGCTAGAATCAGACATTGTGTTCATCCTTCTCAAGCAATGAAATGAACTGCTGAATGATTTCTTAGTACTGTTCAGTGTTGTTTCAAAAAAGATTGGCCCCACTATCCAACAGACTGCACATCATACGCTTATTTTTGGGAATGTAAAGGAAATTTGTGTAGGAAGTATAGATTGGAAGTGGCACAATATCAGGAATTCTGTGATTCACATATCCACTTAAATAAAACCATGCTTCATCAGCAAAAAATGTGTTGTTGGTCCCTTTCATGTCTGTATAAAGGGTAAATTCCAAACCATGTCTAGCATGGTTTGGAACTTATCCTTTGCAGAGCTAATTTAAATGCTTAGGAGTATTGTTGTCTTTATGTTCTCAAAAATGTAAGGAAGGTGATGACTAGAAATTCATAGCCCATGTTAACATCACCAATGCAAAAAACTATTGAAATAGGAGTTTGGAGATTTTTGGCTCATTTCTTTATTAAATGAATAACTTTTTACTGTATTTAAATTATTAGTAATAATCTTTGAAAAATGTGATATTGTTAAGTCTTCAACAGTGTTTGGACTCAAGCATTTAGATTGTAATTAATATTTCACATTTTATGTCTGGATTTGGCCAGAAATTCTTTTTAATATGTACAGTGGGTGATCGGTTAACAAACATATGTTTGTTAACCGATATAACGCTGTTGATAATTCCGTTTTATATGAATTCCACGTTGTACGAGTCACTTAGATCTTACAAATACGTGTGCCGGGCTGTGAACGGCTCACGTATTTGTAAGATCTAAGTGACTCGTACAACATGGAATTCATATAAAACGGAATAATCAACAGTGTTATAGGGGGGTCGACTGTACATTGTAATAGAAACTGATTATTTTGTATCATCTAGCTAAGGGTACTAAGTTAATCAGTTATGTTTTAATGTTGAAATGAAGAGTTAGGCTCCCTATTTTTATTCTTAACATAGTATATGCATATATATATATATCCAATTCCATAGTAATAAATGTTTATTTTACTTTTATAAAAATAATTAACATTTGTATAAAATTTGGTGAAATTTTTATTAATTTTTATTTTACATAATTAAAGTACAGTACATGTGCAATAGCAAAACACCTTGAAACAAATATTGAATATGTAATTAACAGAATACAACAGAAAATTTAATAAATTATATCTGATTTTTATTAAAATTTAACAAATATCGTTTCAAAGTGAAATCTGATTTTAAGTATTAAACAGAAAAATATACTGATGAACTCCCGTAAAACTAATCTTTGCAAATGTACACTAAAGCAATTAATTAAATAAAACAATTTGACATCACTCCATTTAATATCGTATTTACATTAACCGTGCGTATCAAATTATAAATGATTTACATATTTGATATTATTATATTGATATTTAAAAATTTGCTGATCATTACACAAAAATATACATCTCTTTATACGAAATTTTCAAATTAGAATTGTTTTATGTGAATTTATTAATCTGATAATTAAATTTATATCAAAATATTGATATGTATTTTAAATACTGTATTGATTCGCTTATATCCGTAACAACAATTTCGGTTTAGAAATATAATTTTAATTAAAATTTTATTTGCTATTATTTTACAATTTCCTTGTACATTTATTATTAAAATAATTATGTTATATTATTTGAGTAAAGTATCATACACTTTTTTCCTTTTCTGGTTTTAAAAAAACAAAAAGCAGAAATTCTCATTATAGAAACTATTGTATATAGCTGCAATTTAATAAATTGTTTTAAAAAAAAGTTATTAAAGTTAATAATATTTGAGTTTTCAATATTAAATAAACAATACGTAATTCACATGTATGTTACCGTTAAAGTATCAAATGCCGTTATTCTATAAAATACCTAGTTATTTCATATAATACCTGCCTGATTTAGGTAAAGTATGGAATGAATTGAAAATTACATAGTTTAACTAGTTATTCTATGAAATAGCTAAATATTCTATGAATTAACTAACCAGTATTAATTATGGAATTAAATAAGAGTAATAAATGCTGTAAAACTATGATAATTTCTATTTATCAGAACAAGGAGTGCTGGAGTGGCATTTGGAATTGCAGAGAACATTATTTTTTAGACAAGCACATCTTTTGTTGTCACACTGTTTTTTACACGAGCATTTTTGAACCCTAACCTGTATCAACATTTTGGGTTGTAGCAACAGACTGGAGTAGTATCTTAAAGTCTGGTATTTTGTCAATTGATATTGATTTTTGTTCACAGACACAAAATTGATTCCTGCAATATAACTGTTTGAGGTGCCCATTTCTTGTTCCCTAT